CTATGAGGAGGAGGAGAAGGTACAATACAATGAGGCTTGCAAGATTCTGTTATTATAGCCAATTTCAATTAAAAGTAGTTTTAGTCTTTCTGTGGAGTTGACTTCCCAGTCTGGACTATCTAGTGAGGCTGACTTAACCTGAAAAGGGCACATGAGTTAAGCATAAGCTGGACTGATATTATCTGTAAAAGTCACTTTCAGTATATAACAGTGTTTTTCAACCTTGACCATTTTAGGATGTGTGGACTTCAACTCCCAGAATTCTCCACCCAGCAACCCTGCTCTAATTCACATGTTGCACTAAGCCCAAATATGGTTTGTTTGACTGAGGCTTCAATCAAGCTCTTGACGTCAGAGTACCCAAAACCAAATTTCTTGTAGAGGCTTCTCTAACCTGATTTATTAAAAGGAAAAAGGGAACAAAAATCTCAATAGAGAAGATCCACTACCAAGGTGAATGTTAAGTTAAATTCAGTATTTAGATTCCAAATTTCCTGAATCCAAATTTGTTAAAAAATTTAAAGGCTTGAAAAGCAGGGATTAGCTGATGTGGTGAATAAATATGGCCTTGAAGGACAGAGAAAATATCTGTTCAATCAAGGCATGATCATATAAATGAGACTTGAAATCAGGCTCAAAACTTCTTAAAAGGATCCATAACAATTAAGATCTAGCATAGAAAACAATTAAGATATAAAACGCTGGAATAAAAACTGTTTCAACCTCCTGAATCGAACTGCTGCAGTTAAAATGATGTCCCCTTCTAAACTTTTTCGGGTCCTCCCAGTAGAGATTCCCCCCTCTCCAGTTTTTCACAAAATGACAAAAGAAAATGAAAACCTGTCGTTCAATTTAAAACATCCAAACATCAACTGAAGGATCCTCTCTACTTCTCATTATAGTCTGGATGTGAATGAAGAGGTATGCCACACTTATCCAAGATATAACCTCTTAAACCGATGATATATCCAGGTTTTTACCCTCAATATAGAATTGGCTGAATACAAATGCAGAAATTGGAGGGCGTATTTATTTAACTGAATTTCCAGGCGAGTTCCACAGATCCACCCCTCCCAATTTTTTTTAATTGTTAGTTTTTATGATGTGTTTTTATGACGATGTTGTATGAGATGGGCAGCTATATAAATATGATAAATAAATAAATAAATAACACACTGAACGTAGGAAATCTAGGCAGAAGAACCACACTGTCTCTTTTATGTGGGGTTCCACCCCTTCTCCATTTCTACATCAAGCATTTGAAACTATCAAGTCAGAAAGCAAAAGGCAATACCAAGATAGTAGATGTTTGGAGCCACCCATCCGCCGTACGGTAACTCTTGCAAGTGATTGGAGGCCTCGTGGTTGCCCCCAATGAAGATAGTCAGGACAGGCGCTTTCTTCTCTCCAGAGTAATACCTAGGAAAGCACAGTTGGAACTCTGAGCTGTCATGGGCATTAAAGATCCAGGATTTTTCTTCTTTGATATTCTCTACTCAGGGGAAGTCACAGGGCCACTATTAATTAACCCTTTCAGTAGGACCTAAAAGAGAGGGAGTTGTCAAGGAAGCATGGCTCTGGTGCCCCTTTCTCACATGGAGGTGAAACTTGGCTCATGATGGTAAAGTCCAGCAGCCTTACAAACCCTTCCACCTGGTCCCAAAACTGGCGTTTTAACCTTCTGCCCAAGGATAATGAATGTCCCCCCTCCCCCACTCCAGGCTGATCTCTGCACACCCCCAAATGCAAAACTGACAGAAGGAAAGTGGAGAACTGGATATAAAGCTACAGCTGCACTAGTCCAATAAAAGATGGTGCATTTGTTTATTTTTATCATTCATTGGTCAGTAGTGGCATTTTTAAAAAATGAAAGGCTGTGGAAGGCTATGATTGCTGGTTGTGTTTTAACTGTGTGCGCCACTCAGAGTCACATGCAACTGAGATGGGCTGCCATATAAATAAAATAAAATAAAATAAAATAAAATAAAATAAAATAAAATAAAATAAAA